TGAACTTGGTGAATGTTGGTGAACTCTTTTCAAAATGGGACCGAAGCAAAATTCTCACCCGTTCCTATGGAATGCACCCTTCTTGAGAAAATGAAAAGCAGTTGGAATGGACCAGCAGAGGAGAGCTAAGACTAGGGATGTGTGAGGAATCGAGTTTAGGGGTGGGAATCTGGTGGATTTCTTCAGCTCAGCTCCCCAGACTCCAGCCTGCTTCCTCTTTGCCCCAAGTCTGCCGTGTGCAGGGCTTGCGTGTGGGTGTCTGGCAGGAAGTGAGTCCATGAGTTCTGCACATCCTGCCACGAGTCTTCTGTGCAAGCAGAGTTCTGCTTCCACATGCGACTGGTGAGCTTTGCACACTTTGCACAAAGAATGATGTACTTGGTGTGCAAAGTAGCCGCTGGTGTTCTCGAGATTTTGTAGACTTGATCTCAGGCTCACTTCCTGTCCAAGGCTGGAAAGAAGCCCAAGAGAGCTGCAGTCCAGCTTGAGCTTCTCATACCTGCCTGAGAGTTTTGCAAGAAGAAGAATCACATTTGGGGAGATGCCAAAAGTGCACCGTTTGCTTTGGGAGAAGCAGATAATGATGTAAAGATTCTCTGTCTGTGCTTGCTGCCTGATTCCCTATTCTCACCAATATTTCTCAAAGAAGGAGATATTACAGAAGCACTAGGAAACTGAACCAGAAAGAGGATGATCATGAAATTCCCTGTTACTCAGAGAAATGAGATTGTAAGCCGCCCCGAGACTTATGCGATGGGGCAGCATATACGTTGTTTAAATAAATAAACAAACAAATAAATAAATAATACGTATTTTTGGCTTCCTTTCATTAAAAAATCCAGAAGAGTCACTGTGTCAGGATATTTCTAGAAGCTGCAACAGACTCCCTGAGCAGTGATAGACACAAGGAACAGGAAGTGTATCTGAAAATATGCCTAAGAGAAGTCCCAGTTCTGTATTCAAAAGCCCTTGGGTCAGCCGGCATGCAGTAAGGTTGTTCAAGCTGGAGGAAGATGAGGCTGTAGGGACAATTATTGGGAGGAGTGCTAATAAATGTCCAATTTTCTCCTGAATAAGCAGCATCCATATTAAAAGGAGAATTGATTCTTCAGAATTCAATAAGTCCATTATTTCTTCAATTTCTTTGCTTGTCCATTGCATGATTTTCTTCCCACATCTTCCCTGCGTTGTGGTGGAAAAGTAGATTAGAGACTCTTTGAATCAAGGACCAATCATTTTTGCTTATGGTTATTTCTAAAGTATCATGTACTGCTAAGGAGGCAGATAATACAATGCCAGTTTCAAATATGTGCCGGGTCCTCTGTTACTGTGGGAAGTGAAAGCACGCTTTTCCTGCCTGCCCACCCTCGTGTCCCCGGCATTCCAAAAGATCTGTGTGGATTGTTGACCCTGCTTGGGATTCCTATTTTCCCAGTCCTCTCCTTGGAACCGTCATTCTGATCATCCCTTCCTAGTGAACATGTCACTGATCTAATTTAACCCCCAGAGCCTCCCTCTGTGAAAACTCTGCTCATTCCCCCAAATATCAGTTCTCACTGGATTCTTGGAGTGCTATTATTCTTGTATTTGAACTGCAATTGCTCTAGCAGGTTAATTCTCCCATATCAACTGTTGTCTTCTAAAGGTGTGTTTGTACTCAAGAGATGTGCCATCTGGCTGTCTCTGAAGCATGGGTGTGGTTTTGGGTTGCCTTTGTTGCCCTAGCCATCCTAATACCAATTTCCGAAAGTCTCTTACTTCAGCAAATGCATGTCTTGTAGAAAGTGTGCATGTTTATACTTGTATCTAAGAAAGGATGTTTGCTAACCTGAAGCTTGCATTCTCACCTGGATGTGCAGGGATGTCCAAGGTAGGGCAGGTTTCCCAGATGGGGACAGGGGAGGAAGCCGTGCTTTTACTTCCCATTGACACATGCTTGGTAGAACTGGTACGACTACTGTGCAATCTGTAAACAGGAGATGGGTAGCTAAGCTGACAAAAGCACGGTTGGTGAACTGTGAGCCCATACACCAAGAATCCAGGACTTAGGTTGAACAAGCCTTTGTGCTCAACATATAGTGGATGGTGAGAAGCCCAGCTGCGAAGGTCCTCACTTCCCCTTTCCTTCATGGTAACATCTAGGAGGAGAACTTACTTTTGCTTTGACATTATGATTCCTGTAGTTCTCTGTCTTTCAACATATTGTTAGTTGTCATTGGCTGAGGCCCTGAAGATATAGACTGTCCTGCAACCTATGCTAAGGGCCACAGAACCCTGGTCTGAGGCCTTATCCAGCTTGTCATCTCCTTAAATTGAACGTAATGTCCTGATGTTTCTTTAGAAGGTGACACTTGGCCTCCAAGTCATGCCCCTGTAGGAATAACACCTCTAGAGGAAATAGCCAGTATTATCTATAATGTCCACTGTTTTTCGCTAAACACTGTGGCTATGCCTACTGATGTCACCTGGCTGGTGGGAAATACAACCCCCTACCTTGAAACTCTGAGCCTTAGATCTTTGTTGAAACACAGACTGGGTTTGAAGAACATGGCAACCCACCCCAAGGAGTAATTATGGGTTGAATGTGGCTTGCTGCATCCAGCTGAGATAAGAAACTACAGTGAACAACCCACAGTTTTTTGTAGGCCAACAACACACCATGGGTTCTCTTCATGGATTGTTTGTGGTTAACAAGTCATGGCTTGTTAGTGCAGCTGGGTTCAGGCAGCACATTAGCCCTTGTTACAAGTACAACCCACATTTTGAACAACCACCCACCAAATATTGTCTGTACCCACTAATGGAGAGATACCTCCATTACCAGAAGCTTCTGCAAGTGAGGAAGTGTGGCTGGGTGTGGAAATCTTGGTCACATTTCTGAGATCTATTAAATAAGGAAAACAACGGGGAAATAGCTCTGATTCCATCCTTGGGGAAATGATTGACAAAGCCATTCCCCGTTTGCTCAAGGATCTCTTTGGTTGAGAAGAATGCAATGCTTCAAGTTCCACAGATGACATTTTAACTGATGCCTAGTTTCCGCTTTTGTTTGTTTGTTAGTGACAGGAGAGCTGATTATGCATGACATTTACACATCAAATACTGCTTTCAATATGTTGGGCCATAAACATTTTACCAGCGCTCCTCTGGGTGAAACATCTCCATGTATTTGCAGCCTGTAATCATTTTGTTGCCATTAACACACAGAACGGTGGGACAGCAAAATAAGACAGAGTAATTGGATTGAGTGAGGTAAAACAATAATTTAAAATGAATTACCAGCTTGAGTACTGGAACAGTTAAGTCCCCCACCTCCTTTCCCCTCACCAACTCAACTAGTATACTGAGTTTTATGGCATTCTGTTGAGTTTTGCGGATGGTTTTCTACCTCATACAGATGACATCTGTTTTTCACCATGGCCACCATTGTCTTACCTTCCACTTTTTACACTTTTTGGTGCAAAACATTTAATTGGGCCAGGATGCCATCCCTTTCACAGAAAGCAATTGTAGGCTTGTTTATTATTGAAGCTCTTATATACTACTTAGCCTACTAACAGCTCAAAGTGGTGTAAGGTTCAAGGTGGTACGATCCTGTGTCCAGCAGAAGCAATAGCCTTGAACAGTTCTTTAACTTTTCTGCCATCCCAGAGGGTTGAGCAAATATTTTGAACATTTTATTATTGTTCCTAAATTGAGATAGTGGCAAGAGTAGAAAAAAGCAATAGAGGCTCACACATAGCAGCCACATTTAAGCATAACTGAATGTAGGAACTTAAGAGCAGCCATGCTGCATCAGGCTAATTGCCTATCTAGCCAGCATTTGTTCTTTCATTGACCAACCAGGTGGCCCAGTGGAAACTCTCCAGTCAACAGTGAGGCCCTACCATTTCCCTACTTGTGAATTGCCAGAAACTGGTATTTGATACTGGAGGGGGCTTATTGCCCTCAGGACGAGTAGCCACTGAGAGCTTTCTGTTCCTTGAATTTGTCTCATCCTCTGCTCATGTTGGTGGTTATCAGTACATTTTGTAGAAGAGCGTTTCATAGTCTATGTGCTGTGTGAATATGTCCTTTCTTTTGCCTGTCCAGAATCTCCCATCCCAGCTTCATAGGAAGGCTGGGTTCTAAGTTATGCTGTTCTAGAACATGCAGTGTTGTTTTATGAGGATGCCAGTGAAAGAACAATGTAAAGTCAATGGGAGGAAGTTTTTTCCTTTTTCAGAACAGTTCTCTGAAGTCCAAATGAGATGGTACATGCAAATGCATTTAACAAAAGTGGGTCGCTCCTTCTCATGTGTCCATCACTGAAAAAAGCACCTTCTCCAAGGGTCAATGTGATTTGGAGCAGTGTTGGGGTAGATGAGGTGCTTAAGTCATTCTTTGTTGAGCATCATCCCAACTGCTTTTTCTTTTGACCATGCCTGTGGGATGCCATCGCTTGAAATCCTTTCTCTGAACCTGTTGCTTCCCTAAAGCAACCTTCTTTCTCCAGATGGGTCAGTCTGTAACTCCCAGAGGACATCTCCAAATAGAGGACTTTGCCCTGTAAAGTAGGACACCTGGTCACACTAGTTGCATGTAGTGCTCATAGATGTGTAGCCCTTATTGCCACATATTTTGATGCGTTGATGACCGTTTGTGTAAATGGGTTCGATATATCAGTTGAGAACATGCCTGATCAATGGCAAATCTGTCACTGGCATTATATGCTGACAGCAAACAACAGCATCTGTATGTTTAGTGGTAGGATCTTTACAGTTATCAGATGCTGGAGGCCAAAAATAGGGAAATACCTGCGTCAAATTCATGGGCTTCCAAGGCCTTCTGATGATGATCACTGGAGACAGAATGCTTGCCTAGATACCTTTCATCTGACCCACCAACAAGGACTACCAAATCTGTTTTTTGAGGGAGGGGAAAAAAGCCATTTCTGACTGCCAAGCATATTGAAATCTCAAAGGTTTAATTGGATATTTTTTTTTTCCCAAATCACACAGTTTTGAAGTCTGAAATCACTTCAGGAATTTATTTGCCTGAGAAAAAAAAGTTGCATTACGGATTACAAGATCAAAGATTAATTTCACTGCTGCAGACTTCAGTTGCACAGGTCAGACAACACTTGCACAGTTCATGGAATCCTGTAACACCATAAAGATTTTTTTCCAACATTACATTATGGGGAACAAAGAAGTCCTCAGATAATGGATTTGCTGGACAGATCCAAGGTGCGTCCTCCATTTGGCAAAACAGAAGTCTTAATGTTTACTTCCAATACACCTTTAAGAAATTCTTCTGAAAATTTCTTGGGAAATCCTGGTGATTGGCAGGTACCTCACATTTTGCCTTTTGGGAAAACTTCAGTACTAGAACCCATTAAGATTGCCTTTGTTATTATAATCTAAGAAAGTGGTGAATACTATTTGTAATTATGCAGATGGTTAGAAAAATGCAAGATAATCCCCTTCCTCAGCTCATCTGTTCTTTTCATCTTCATAAGATAATTGGGCTACGGAAGAGCTTCAACTCATTCGTTGTCATACTCACAGCAAACTATTGAAATTCTTCTTTCTTGCCTTCCACTGATGGTTCTCCCTGACCCCTCCCAGGTCCTGATAACATGCCACACTTTTCTTAGGCCACCGTACCTGCTCTGTCCCCATCCTAAACTTGCTCTTTTGCAGCAAGTCAGGGTTTACTGGTCCTTTTTTTAAAATGAGCAGGGACACCAATGCCAACTCTTGCCTTCCTTTGATTTCCCCCTGGGTTAGTTGTCCTCTTGTTGCAAAGTAAGGTATTTTCTGGTGGGCCCGTCCTGAACGGGCAACTAAGCTCCATTAGCTTTGCCAAAGGCCTGGAGGAGATGAAAGCTGCTAGAAGCAGCTTGTTGACGTGCATCGATGCAGCTGCCTGCGATTTTGAACTCTGCTTGGAGGACGTGGTTATGGGGACTGTCCAAATGAGCATTTGGACTTCAAAAGTGACCACGGCACTGCTGGTGGTCATTCCCTGACTCTACACCATCAGGGCTTCCATCTTTCCTTCATTCCTGCTCTTCCTGAGCAGCGACAAGTGTATTCCTCCTTGTAGGACTCCAAAAGAAGAGAAAGAAAAATCCAACCCTGTGCAACACGCCATCCTAGACACATACCTATAGTTCTTTAGTGCGGATACAGATCTCACAGGACACACGCAACACGCACTCCTGGTTCTTCTATTTTATATCAAGCCTTTTAGCTATGAATGTTGGAGAAATCTGCAATGGATTGAAGTAATTTTGGATCCGACAAATGAATTGATCTGTGGATTGCACAGGGGACTGCCTTCCCCAGTCCAACACTTCTGAAATGTTTTTAAAACTTTCCATAATTTTCCATAGAAAAATAATTTTAAAAACCTGACCAAAAATGTGCCTTTCCCGCCACAGACAAAAGCACAACTATTTGCATGAGGGGATTTTCAGATTTGTGGGGATCTGTGCACTTTCAAAAGTGCTAATTTGCACAAATGAGTATGGATGCATTTCTGCAAACTCCAATTCTGTCTGTGAGTGGACAACAGAAAGAAAAGTAACTAGTCATCTGTGAAATGCAGACAGAATGGATTTAACCAAGTAAGTGCATCCCTATTTTCAACACATGTAGAGACTCATCCGAATTTCATTCCCCTCCCCTCTCCAAATGCTCTTGGAAGAAAATTTGCTGTGTACTGGTTTTAAAAATCCTCTCTAGGAATAATGTAAATCTATTTTACCTATCTTGGCGGCCTCAAACTGGGGAATCTTTTCCAAGCTAAAGGCTGACTAAGCTTATTTGAGATGAAATATTATCAGGAATAGTATCTAAGTGTGCTTTTCATTGCACTGCTCTTCTTAGTTAGAATTATATCCAGGTTTGGACATAGCAAAATACAAGAAGTGTACTGCTCACATTCCAGTTAAGAAAAGAAATAATAATAAAATATAACCTATTTGTATTACAATACAGCACTAGGTATAATATACATTTTTGTTGTCTTGTCTAGTATTCTTTTTTTAAATATCCAGTAAAAAAATCTAAAATAGTTGGAAGTAAAAAATGAAAAAATAGCTGACTGTGTGTTTGTGTTTAGTTTTTCTTTACAGTGATATGGTAGCAAATACAAGAAAAATGTTTTCTGGTCCCATCTCTGCCAACAGGGCTCAGGTTGAAGGAGAAGATGAAAGATAGTGACAAAATCTATAGATTTGTGGGATTTTTTTCCTTGTTTTGGCTGTAGCTTTGGTAGATAAGGATCCATGAGTAAAAGATATTGCAAATAAATGTTTTGCTAAATAGCTAAAATGCCAGAAGGAAATCTCAACCCTGAGCATGAGGACAGCATAAATACTATTTCCCCAATCCAGAATTTGGAGCCTCCCGAAAATCCAAGGACAATAAGTTGAGCTTACAACCCATTAAAGCCAACCATGGTTAAGATATCCTACAAATTTCAATTGGGTGTGTACCAAAGCACCTTCTGATGTGTTTGCCCTTCGGCCTTGGTGGAGGAGACAGCCCAGGATCACAGGTCTTTAAGAAGTTTCTGGAAAACGGTGGCCATCTTAGTTCTGCTTCAGCCAACCAAACTCATGTTCTTACCTGTCTCCAAATGCCCTTCCATTCTGCACCCTGTCCTCCTGCCTGGCTTAAGTGGAAGCTAAATGATTCATATAAATACAGGTGGCAATGTAATACATCCCTCCAAAAATGGATTTGTGCTGAAAGGTCGATGCATTCATTGACAAGGCTTGGCAAATGGTTACACTGAGCCCTGTTTTGGCTGTAGAAAAAGAAGTAGAAGAAGAGGAAAAGAAGTACTAAGTTGCAGCATAAATCAAGATCATGTAGACGGCCAACGCAAACGGTAAATCCATCTCTCATCACCTGCATAATAATAGCATCACGTTTGCATATAGAACAGCCTTTTTCGTTATTGCTCTACTTCATAAAAATATAAGGAACTTAGAACAGACGTACACATTACAAACTTAAGGTTCTTTGGTGAAGAATGAAAACAACAACAGCAGCATTTCAGCTGTACATCAATCCCCAGAGCAAAGTGCTGCTTCTATCTGTTGATCCGCTGGATCCTCTCACAGAGAAGGGACAGGTACTGGGTCAACTTGACCATGGCAACAATCGCAAGTCCACCGAGCATCATGGACGTTGGCCAAAAGAGCGAGTGGAACAGCACGTTGGAGCTGTACAGTTTGGTTAACAGCACATTCTTCTGCACGCCTTCTGGGTCATAGAAACAGGAGAAATGCTGATACTTCTTGAAGTTCTCCATGACAACATTCACAAGGGACAGAGCCTCTTCAAAGTTCTTGCTGCACTTAGGTATATAGGAACACTGTGGGGGGGAAAGAGAAATGGAAAAAAGGAAGACAGTGCATTTCCAGCTTCCAGAGGTTACCAAAAGCAATGCAGGACTTGTGGTTCTGCTACCACTTTAATTGTTATAACTTCCCCCACAAAGAACTCTGGGAATGGGCGTCCTGTGAAGAAGCTTCCCCACCTAAATATTTTGGATGATAACTCCCAGGATTCCTGACCATTAGCGCTGTAGAAAGAGGCTGATGGGAGTTGAGGTCCAAACCATCTGAAAGCCTTCTCTAGTAGAATGCTTGGCGTCCTACAAAACAATTCCCAGAGTTCCTTGAAGAATATCATACAGATTAGGTGGACTTGCTTAGTGGGTTTGCTTTGAAAGTAGGGATACCACACCTATCTTCTATAGGGAAGATGAGCAAACTCCATTTGGGGATTTTGTGGTGGCGATTTCTAGTGTGCATGTGCTCAAAGGATCACCTGCATCTCTTCACAGAATACTGCTAATGCATACTCTCTGTGTGGTGTGTGAAAAGTGGGATAGTGATAAAGTTTGAAATGCAGAAACTCATCACGATCACCTTCTTAACCATAATCCTAAGGACAGTCCAACATACCTACAGCTGAAATTCTGGTTCCCCACATTCCTGTTCCACTATACCACTGTTCTTAAGCAGATCTCCAGGAAATTCTTCTTAACTAGGTTCACATCCGCTTATTTTCAGTAAACCTGTGAGGAGCTGTGCGGGGCTCTTGTCATGTTGGAGACACACCACTCTTTCCCTGGGGAAGATTTACCAGTTCCCCTTGGAAGAATTATGGAAACAGAAAGCACAACCTCCTCGTTCCCTTTTTGAGCGCCACTTGCGATATGGAAGTAAGATACCCCAACATGCTTGGCTTGGCAAGACACATGCTGGTGTCTTGTTTGGTCAGAAGTACCGAAGAGCAAATGTAGCCTTTTAAATCACAGTTTAACAGCTACAGCAAGAGTGATAGCACAGAAAAATATCTGGGAGATGGTTTTAAAACCCAGAGATGAGGAATGCCCAAGGAACTCTTCTGGGATGATCGCGAACAAACCAGACTCTTGTTTTTCTCCGTTTCTGACAAGAGTGTGTCATACAGGTATCTCGGCATAAAACGAATGCACTGCCTCACTTATTTGGGTGACACGGGCTTGGGGAGAGCTCTTTTAGAGCGGCAGGTCTTCGTTTAATCAGTGCCGAAAATCAAAAGCACATTGTCTTGCATGTGTGACTGTGAGAGGCAGAGTCAGCAGGAGATGCTGCTGCGGAGGTGTGTGCTCAGAGAGCCTGAGAGGTTGCCTTGGTTTTCTGCTGACCTCTTGAGGGCTTCTAGTGCTGACCTTGTGGGATGCAAGTGCCACTCTCTCACCAGCAGTGTCAGGAGCGTCACTCGCACAGAGACGGCTGCTCCCTTGGAGGTGGGAGGAAAGTGACAACCAGTGTCTCAGGGGGCCCATACGAAATCCGTGGCTCGGGATGCGTGCTTGCCTTCCTTTGCTGCATGAGGCTGTACTCCCAGCTGGTGGGAGCCCTGGCAGCTTGTCAAGATGAGCAGCGGGATGAACATCAGCTTCTCTTCCCTGCCTCTGACAAGAGCATTGCACTGGTTCTGTTTACCTCGCCAGCACAGAGGGAAGGGATGCCTTTTCAACTCAGGGCAACATACTTTCGTGCTGCATATGTAATCCTGCATGGGAGTGAGGGCGTGCCAGGTCTCTCTGTGATGCTGGTGTAAGGTGAGCGCTAGACAGCTGGACCACATTACAGGGACCCTCTCTTGGGGGAAGCCAGGGTTGGCATGAATGGGCACCTGCCAAGGCCCACCTGTCCAGGGGGGGCCTGGCTCTAACTCTCTTTTGTTTTCTGCTCCATAGGCACCAATGTCACCAAAAGGCAGTGCAAAGCTGACAGGAGAGGTGTGGATGTGGCAGAGGCTGAAGGATTTCCATATTTAGATAAGCACAGACCAAAACATGTTAATTTGCATATGAAACGTGTGCATCTTTTGCCCTGTGGACTTGAGCACTGGATCTTTTCAGTCCCTAGCAGGGCCCCTGTAGCCACTTCCATGGTATGGAGTTTGTCTCATCTGTGGGAAGGATATGGAACGGCTCTGCCTCAGAAGAGATCTGCCTTGACAGTCTGAAAGGGTCGAAAGCTCCAAATATTTTAATTCCATTCTAGGTCAGACAGTAAAGAGTTATCATAAGGAGCATTGCATCAGTAAAACTGACTTGGGATTCAGTTTGCACAACAGCACGTCGGTGAGAAAAATACATAGCGAACCCCAGAGAAGCAATCATAACCCATGAAACAGCCTTGAGCTAAGTAAGCATTAACTGTACCTGCATTAGATTAAGCGGAAGTGCCACCAGGGATGACTTAAGTGTAAATATAAACAGTAAAACTCTCCAAGATTTGCAGAGCTAGTGTAGCAGAGTAGCTAAGGGCCAAAATCGGCATTGCAGGCAGTCACATGCCTCTTTTCCCAGATGTTCTTTTAAAACGGTGAGCGGACTTGTCTTGCGAGGTGACACGTCTTAATTGGGGAATGGTAAGAGGAAGCGATTGCTACTTAAATACTTCCCCCTAGCTTTTTTTCCTCACTTCAAATTGTCCCCAGGGGGGTTTCCACCAGTGGGGGAAAGATCTGGACACTTTAAACAAAAATAAACATGAGCCAGTGGGTGCGGGTATTCATTTGCCCCAGTCCCTCTTGCAAAGCTGGGGATCTATTTTGCACCTAACAGTCCAATTTAATTAAAGTGGCATGATTCTTCCTGCACTCTATCTTAAAGTGGTTACAAATGGCTTCAACATCCTGCTTGGCCTTCTCCCCTTCTTTTCATTGCCTTTTTTTAACACTTAGCCTGAAAAAGAGGAGCTTGGGGAACTCAAAAGCAGCTCAGTACTTTGTTAAATGGATCTGGTACAAAAAGAAAGAGATTCTCCAGGGTTGCCCTTTGAGTTCTTGTTCTGTTTTCATGGTCCACCATTGGCCATCTCAGGGCTGAGCGGAAGGATTCAGCCAGTTGATTTGGGGTGCCATGGAAGGGAAGCAAATAAGCAGTTATTCAATGTCCTGTGATTATATTTTTAGTTCCAGTAATGGGGCAAGAGGCACTTAGCACTGCCTCAGGTGTCAAACTGACTTGAAGCTGCAGAAGAGATGCAAGAAGAGAGAGATGGACAGCAAAGAACCAGGCAGCTCAAAAGGTTGTTAGCTGTAGCTTTTTATGGCCAGAGATGGGATTTGCTGCCTGGCCTTCGCAAGACCTATGCGAGTGGAGGAGTGCCACTTGCTGTTCTGCCTCAGGCAGCCCAGATGTCTTGGGCTGGCCTTGGGCTACCTGCACGTTTTCTATTAATACAGAGCAACTTGGCATGCAAGGTGGGACAGGTGGACAGGATGTCAGACAAGCGGAGTGCCGAACACTTCTCCAGCCCACCTTGAACGGCCGTTTCGCAGGCCAAGGTATATCCCCTCAGTGGACAATGGGTGAGGAGGTGGGGATTTTGCTAGTGAAACAAAGAAAGAAAGAAATAACAAGGGTTTGGGGGATTTAAAATGAACCGCCAGTCGTGGTTCATGCAGGCAAAGGGCTGTTTCACTTGGCTACCGGAGGTGGGAGATGGGAAAAGGGTCACTAGCAGCTGAAAGGCTTAGCACGGGGCTGTTGCAGCATGTGGCGAATGCTTTGTTCTTTGTTTCTGTCATGCATTTGATTATATGCTGCCTTCTAGTACACATTTTCATAAGGAGGATCAGAGTAGCAAGGTGGTTGGAGTGTGGGACTGGGAGATCAGCTGTGAAACCCACTGGGTGACTTGGGGCCCGTCACTGACTCTCAGCTTAACCTGCCTCACAGGGTTGTTGTTGTGAGGATAAAATGGAGAGGAGGAGAACTGCGAAAACCACCTTGAGTTTCTTGCAAGAATATCTAAATCTATAAATTTATAAATAAACCTAATTCAAATAATAAATTAGGTATAAATATAATCTAACAACAAGAAGAACAGAAACAAGTAAAGCATAAGAGAAACACGTAAAAGCAATAATGCAACTGAAAACATCTGTTAAAACATAATGAGTGAACCCTGAATGAATTGTCTTGAAGTTAAATCATTTAAAGGGCTTGAACGCAAATGGCTTCAGGTACCACCTGGAAGCTACCAGAGAGGAGGCCAGGTGGGAGTTCCAAGGACATGAGGACACAACTGCACGAGCCCGGTCTCCGGTGCTGACCAAGGCGATGTCATGGCATAGTGGGGAGCAGGCCTTTGCGGCTGATCTTGTGGGCTGGCTACAGCACCTCCCAGACTAGGCACGGTTTGGAGGCCAATGGATACTCAAGCGTGCAGAGAAATGTTTGCTGAAAGGCTCCAAATAGCAAGCTTTGGGCATAGCATCTATCCTAGTATTTTTCAGTTGCATGGGAGACCAAAACAAAGAGGATGAGGGATGAAAGACTCTGGGCGTGAATGCACCATGTGCTCGTAATGAGGAATGGGTAGGTCCCTTGTCCTCTAGCTTGCAGCCCTGCTGCCTTTTTTAATGCTCAGCCTGGTACACCAGCTCCTTTCCTTGTGTGGCCAACCCCCATTGTTTCCACAAAAGCTCCATTCTCTGGCCAAGCCATTTTTGCTCACTTGTTATGGAGAATCTGCCTATGTTGCTGCCAAATTATTGCAATTCAGTGTTTCCTCTGCCTTTTTAGGACCTGGGTTGTGGTTATTTTAAACAGAATCACCATGACAACGTATTACATATGGCCTGGCAAAGTACTTTTCTCTGTCACTGGCCTTTCAATTAATAATTTCCTGGAAGTTCTTTGCTCCAATGATCCCCTGAATTAGAAGTCTCTTATTTGCAGCATGAGCAATTGCACCAATTGCTTACTTCATTTCATTTTATAAAAAGGCATAATAAGCAAACAGCAGGATTCTTTGGCTGCAAACAGGAAACAGCTGACTAAGGCCCAGTTGTCAGGAA